GTCTCCCGCCCAGGGCACTGCCTGCTCCCCCCCACGTACTCCCTCCCCAAGGCAGAATTCCCATCACAGGCCCTGATAACAGGTGGCAGCAGGCATTTTCTTCTTGGGGGCACCTCTAATCTGCTTGCAGCCTTCTTGCTCTTTTTAAAAAGTATATTTTTATTGTCTTCAGAGAGCAGAGAGAGATAGAAACGTCAGTGATGAGAGAGAATCATGGATCTGCTGCCTCCTGCACACCCCACACTGGGGATCGAGCCCGCAACCCGGAATCGAACATGACCTCCTGGTTCATAGGTTGACGCTCAACTGCTGAGCCCCGCCGGTCGGACTCACATTAGTTCTTTTTAGATATTGGTCAATTTTGGGCATTAAATGGAGGACCCCAAAATTTCAACAGCATTTTAAGTCCTAGTTCCCATTTTTTCTTACTGAAATCCCTCCATCTGAAGGTGACACAGATTTGTAACATATGCCTGAGCGCCATGCCATCACTTGGCGGGGCTGCAAGATCAGGGGTGACATTCGTTCAGGCCGCCCCCATGCGGCCTGCGGGGGATGCCAACGTGGCTCTGCAGTTTTCAGTCGGATAATGGCAGAAGCAGCCGGGATCCTATCTGTGAAAACAGCCCAAAGAATCAGAGAGAAGTCGCGATTGCGTTCACACCTGTGGAGAGTTATGTGCTGCTCCAGCACACTTTCTATGACACTACAAAACAGTGTTTACACTTTACATTTTTTGTTAATCCTCCTCCGAGAATATTTTTTCCACTGATTTTTAGATAGAGTAGAAGGGAAGGGGGGAGGCAAAGAGAGAAACATCGATGTGAGAGAGACACATCGATTGGTTGCCCCCTAGGGGCCCTGGATAGAGCCTGCAACCAAGATACATGCCCTTGACCAAAATCAAACCCAGGACCCTTCAGTCCATGGGCCAACGCTCCAACCTCTGAGCAAAACCAGCTAAGGCTAAACATTACATGTTTCTGTCATCTTTAGTAGCCTCAAAGTGCTTTCCTATATATATGATCACTGTATGTATGGCCTTGTTGCTCTTACCTGGATAATAAGGGCCCGTTTTTATTTGCTCAGACACACACACACACACACACACACGGAGGCCCCCGCCTGACCCAGCGGGTTGTGATGTACATTTCACTGTCACCTCCTTTACTCGTCACTCACCCGAGCTCAGAAAACAGTTCTGCTGTGGCTTCATGCTTGTGCAGTGTTAGTCCAGTCTCCACACAGAAAGCACTGGGAACGGATCTGTCCACAAGGTACCCGAATGGATTGTACAAACGGAAATAATGCTTTTCCTCTCCTCTTGCTCTGCACCCCAGCACCCCCACCCCACCCCCATTTGGCTTGATCTTGGTCCCCACAACCGCCTAAGATTGCAGCTGGGGAGCTGTCACCCGAGTTCTCCCTGCCAGGTCATGGGGGACGGGGCTGGAAGGGTACAGTGGGGTGAGGATCTGTTATCGCAGATCCCTGTCAAGGCGAGGTCTGGAATTCTCACGGAAGAAGGAGAGTTTGGGAAAGTGATACACATTGGGTCCAGGAGGGACAGAGAAATCATTGCTTCGGGTCTCATCTTGCTCAAGTTGTGTTTGCTCAGACCTGCCTGGGTTTTGCCCTATGGCCCTAGCAGGGATGGAAGAGGAGCCCTAAGCCTTCCTTGTTGGCTCTCCCATGGCTGGCATCCTAGTTCACGAGGCACATCCTCGTGCCTCACGGTGGCCAGTGGGCGCACAGAGGAGGGGGGCGCACAGAGGAGGGGGGACACACAGAGGAGGGGGGACGCAC